TGAAGAACTAAAACCAGGCAAGGGGCCACTGAGCTACGTACCTCTTAGGGGCCGTCCATAAATGACGTCACGCGATTTTGGACGATTTTTGACCCCCCCCTTCGTCACACGGCGTCACAAAAAGTCAGACCCCCCTTCAAATATGACGTCACAAAGCTTTGCCCCCCCCAAATAAAACATGTTTCAAATGGCTTGAAACTATTGTCATTGTAGTGCGTATTTAATGTGGCGCTGCACTCTGATGTTGTAGGAGAAAACATTAAAAAGTCAATTTAATCAAGTAGAACGTGTTGTCTATAAAGTTGCACATTTTGATGTGACGTCACACTTCTCAAACACACCCCCCCCTCGTCACACATCGTCACAAACGTCTGACCCCCCCCCCACCCCTAGGTGCGTGACGTCATTTATGGACGGCCCCTAAACGCGTGATGCCGATTGTGAACGTGGAAGGGGAAGCTCGGAGGACCTGGAGATAAGTCCACACGAGAGAGACACGCAGACTGTACACCAGGCGAGGTAGTCAACATCTCCTAGCCACCGTGATGATGAGAGACACGCAGACTACACCAGGCGAGGTAGTCAACATCTCCTAGCCACCGTGATGATGATGATGATGAGACACGCAGACTGTACACCAGGCGAGGTAGTCAACATCTCCTAGCCACCGTGATGATGATGATGATGAGAGAGACACGCAGACTGTACACCAAGAGAGGTAGTCAACATCTCCTAGCCACCGTGATGATGATGATGAGAGACACGCAGACTGTACACCAGACGAGGTAGTCAACATCTCCTAGCCACCGTGATGATGATGATGAGACACGCAGACTGTACACCAGGCGAGGTAGTCAACATCTCCTAGCCACCGTGATGATGATGATGAGAGACACGCAGACTGTACACCAGACGAGGTAGTCAACATCTCCTAGCCACCGTGATGATGATGATGATGAGACACGCAGACTGTATACCAGGCGAGGTAGTCAACATCTCCTAGCCACCGTGATGATGATGATGATGAGAGAGACACGCAGACTGTACACCAGGCGAGGTAGTCAACATCTCCTAGCCACCGTGATGATGAGAGACATGCAGACTGTACACCAGGCGAAGTAGTCAACATCTCCTAGCAACCGTGACGATGAGAGACACGCAGACTGTACACCAGGCGAGGTAGTCAACATCTAGCCACCATGATGATGATGAGAGACAAGCAGACTACACACCAGGCGAGGTAGTTAACATCTCCTAGCCACCGTGATAATGATGATGAGAGACACGCAGACTGTACACCAGGCGAGGTAGTCAACATCTCCTAGCCACCGTGATGATGAGAGACACACAGACTGTACACCAGGCGAGGTAGTCAACATCTCCTAGCCACCGTGATGATGAAAGAGACACACGCAGACTGTAAACCAGGCGAGGTAGTTAACATCTCCTAGCCACCGTGATGATGATGATGATGAGAGAGACACTGCAGACTCCAAATATACAGCAGTAGGCGTCAGGGTCGGGGGTCGAATCCACGATCCTCGTTGATGTAAATGAACGTGTCGCACACTCTTTAATGATTCCAACTTTAAACTTCCATTTGGCCGTGGGCCCTTGGCATCTGGCGTCTGTGCCCAGTAAGTTATGAGCCAAACAAATTACATCAAAAAGGCTAAAATGTTCGTATTCCCATTTTATTAATTGTAAAGTGAATACCCCCAATATTACACACGTGCAATCCAAAAAAAAATACAATACTGTAATGTTACGATTAAAAAATATACCCATATACATTAAAGACAGGAATCGAAACCACACGGCTCTTCCATAGTAATCGCACGCGTGGGTTGTGTCCCACCGTTTCACACACACGCGTGTTGAAGATTTAAACACGCGTTTGTTATGTTACCCGAAGTACCGTCACCACCGCCATCACCAAAATATTCACCACCAATGACAGCTGTCACCACCACCAACACTATCACCACCAACACTATCTAAGACTCAGGGGCGGGGAACCTTTTTTCTGCCAAGGGCCATTTGGATATTTATAAAAGAATTCGCGGGCCATACAAAACGATCAACTTTAAAATTTGCCCGTTATATTTGGTCAAACGTTTAATGAACTCACCCCTAATGCGATGGGCTGTAACTGCTTCTCTTTGGCGAGGCGTGGTGATGATGTTAGCTGGCTATTGATGACGATGTTGCTGTTGCTACTCGCAACTGCTTTTCCAGGTTTGCTCTCCTAGATTTATTGAATTTCGAGTCCAGCCTGCGGTTGCCTTGGCAGGGCCAGAGCCCAAATTATTTCGTGGGCCGGACGTTCCCCACCCCTGCTCTAAGACAAAGGGCCCCAACAGACTGTTGGGGGCAAGTGCTGTTAGCGAGTAGCAGCTTTGAAGGCCGGCACGGCACACGAGGGGGTGGGTGGCCAGCACCACGCCCGGCCTCCTTTGTCTCCCCCAGTGGCGAAGTTTTTACACACCGCACCAGGTACTCATTTGAGGCTGAGTCAATCTGTGGGAGGCGCAGGACCGGTTCGAATATAATCGTCACCGGTATTGTCCGTTGAGCGGGAATCGAACCCGGGTCGCTGCACTGCCGCTCGCATAGTCAAGTCACTGTATTTTTTTCATTTGCCATACAGCCAGATAATACGACAAATCGCTAACCTCAAACACCCGGTCGTTCGTAAAAGTTGAAGGCGGTATAGTACTATAGTAACAGAGCAAGTGCAGCATCAATGAACCGCGAATTGAGAGCTTGAAAAGCGTTTAGCGCGGGGCCCTTGAAAGTGCGGGGCCCGTAGCTACTCCACATGTAGCTACTACACAAGTAGCTACTCCACATGTAGCTACTTTTGCTACTAGAATAATGCGGCACTGGGAAAGGTGGGGGGGAACGATGCCTGAATGCCGACTCGTGCCGAACGGGGTCACCGGGGCGCATCCTCGACATCTCCACCACGGAGCGCCGCTCCGGGCGTCCCGTACAATTCCAGCGGGGGAAAAAACAAAAAGACACACACACACACCGGCTCGGCTCCTCGCAGGCCCGAGGAGAGTTTGCCGACGGGGAATATTTTTCCCCAAAATGAGTGCAGACTTATCATCGATTCTCGGGCGCGCGTTTCACCCGGCCGCTTCCAACATTGTCCGGCGGATCCCGGGTGCCGATCCGGCGAAACCGGCAAACGCTCCAAATGTCTGTTAACCACCGTCTGGCGATCGGCACCCGCTTTGTGTGTGTGACAAAAAAAGGCAGCTATGCTTGATTTCAGTGTCATATATTAAATACAAAGTAAAACCTTGTGGATTGCGAGTAACTTGGTCTGCGAGTGTTTTGCAAGACGAGCAAATTTTTTAAATAAATATTAATTTGGTAAACGAGCGAGGTTTTAGCAATACGAGTAGTAGTACGTGTACACGCTTTGTACTGCCGAGCGTCACGTGATCACAACTGATTTACGAGTGCTTTGATATACGAGTGCTTTAGATTACAAACACGTTTCCGGAACGAATTATGCTCGCAATCCAAGGTTTTACTGTATTATATACGGTACATTATACACCACATACAACTTAATGAATATACTGCACGGATATACATCACCCCGAGATTGGAGGGTCAAGTAGGGTACAGTTATAACACAGTCACTTTTTAAAATAGAATATTTACTTTTGTCTATTTGTATGCTTATTTATGCCAATTTCACGACGTAAATACATTTGAAACACACACAGAGCATATAACTACAACTAAAAACACGTCATTCAAGAATGTGCAAAAAATAAGCTGTTTCAAATCACGCTTTAGCGATTATCCGGCGTTTTTGAAAATACGGCGCGCACCGCAAAAGCCGCCGGATAATCGATGATCAACTGTCACCTTCGAAACTTTCGCCGCCGATCAAAAATAATAATCGGATTAATTTGGAGAGAACTTAACGGCACGACGGCCCCCCACCCCAGCCCCGACCTTCCAACGGACCGCAATGATCATGCGGCGGTTCCTTTACCGCGAAAACCCAGCACGGCAGATACATCTGAGCCAGGGGTCAGCAACCGACATAAGAGGCGGAATTCTTTTCTCAAGATCTCCGCCCACCACCATCACCACCACCACCACCACATATAGCCTTCAGCAGACTAATGGGACAAGTGTGCAACAACAACAACAACGACCGCCGTTCGCTACCAAGTGGCGGTGACGTAACCACGGCGCTTGCGCCAGGCTACGTGCACGTTGAGGCCACGTGAAGTGTCGAACGCCTGCCCGCAGGAGGTCACGGGGCAGACCCAGGTGCCGTGAGTCGACTGAGATGACTGGCCGATGCACCACCTGTGCCCCCTACTGTGCCAACTTGGTAACGCCGTGGTGAGCAGTGCCATGGGGGGAGGGCGCCAATTTCGATTGGCCATTCCCCTCATTGCGTTTGTAGCCACCACAGCGGCCAAAGGGGGCTCTGGACGGGTGCGAGCGGCAATCAATTACCACTAAACCACGAAAAAAACAATATCCACCTTGGCAAGTGTGCATATACACACACACAGACACATAAAAGGATACAGATTCACGGACGCACAATTACGTACATTTGTAAATATAAACACACACACACACACGTACATACTGACAAACGCACACAAACCCAATTCAAAAAGACAGAGATCCCCCCGTATAGCCTTAACACAATTGGCGGCAAGTGCCGTTAGCGAGCAGCAGCGGCTATGAAGGCCGGCGCGGCACGCAACGGGGTGGGTGGCCACCACCGCGCCCGGCCGCCTTTGTCTCCCCCAGTGGCGATGTTTACACACCGCGCCGGGTGCAATGTTTACACACCACACCGGGTGCTTATTTGATGCGACCGAGGGGAGGCCCCAGGACCGGTACAGATAACTGTCACCGGTGTCGGCCGTGATCGGGAATCGAATCCCGGGCCGCCGGGTTCGATTGTCAGCGCGCTAACCGCTGTGCCGCCGTGCGTGCCGACAACAACAACAACAACAAACAACAACAACAACAACAACCGCCATTCGCCACTAAGTGGCGGTGACACCACCGCGGCGGCCTGTGCCAGGCTGCGTGCACGCCCCCCCGCTACGTACGCATGCTGAGCTTCTTTCGCAGCGTGCGCAGCCAAATTCCGCGCTGATCGGAGGCGCTGCGTTCCATCTCCCGCGGTCAACGTGCCGGCCGCGGCGCCGCGAAGCCACGGGGACTCGAATTCGCGGCCGCGGCCGCTCCCGTCGCGCGCCGCGGCCTGTTCGCTCCCGAGAGGAACGTCGGGGAATGTGGAGGAGGAGGAGGAGGAGGAGGAGCGGCGGGCGGAGGAGCAGAAGCAAGTCGAGGAGAGGCGAGGGAGGCAGGACGTGGTTGTGCGGCCGTGCCGTTGCCAGCGCCATCGCGGCAGCCACCGCAACCGCGGCCGCAGCCGCAGCCGCGCACGCCGAGGGGCCGGCAGATTCCCCGGGGCGGCTGGTGGGGTCGATGGAACGCCATTATGCAGTGCAGATTGCCCCCGACCTGCGGGGCGAGGGTGGGAGCGGGGGTGGCGGCAAGTGGGGGATGACAGAGAGACGGCCCGCCCACCCTCCCGGGGATTTAGTTAATAACCGTCGTCAGCGGTGAGGACGTCGAATTCCGCGCGGCAGCGGTCATCGCGGTGCCGTATCGGGAGAACCCTCGGCCCGTCGCGGGCCGGCCTGGTCACGTTCTTGAGGGCATCCGCGACAGAGGTGGTTTGGTCGTCGTCGTCGTCGTCGTTGTTGTTGGGTTAGATCGCGTGAATACAAACACACGTGGCCGATTGGCAAGAGTTTGTCACGTGAGCAGGACGCGCCGATTATAGCAGCGCAGCGCTAGCCGGTTGTGCGTTGGGGGTGGTGGCGGCGGGGCGGAAGGGGGAAGAGTTTAAAACCCCACGGCATTGACGATTCGAGTACAGCGACGTGTCGCCGCTAATTGACAACCAGCCTCACCGGTGAGCGGTGCAACACCCCCAAAACCCACCGTCCTTGTTCGCGTTAGCGGCACCCTACGCCGGAGGGGTGGTGGGCAAGCCGAAACGACGACGACGACGATGACGACGAGGAGGAGAAAGAGAGGAGGCGTTGTTTTCTCGAACATTTAGACGGTGGTGGCTCCTGAAGTAAATAAATAATGGCGTCGCCCACGGATGTCGGTTCCCTTGAAGAGCCGGCGTGCCACTCCAGAGCCGCGGGTTGCCCTGAAACCCTGCTCATGGTGAACTGGACTCCCATGGTGAACTGGACTCCCATGGTAAACTGGACTCCCATGGTGAACTGGAATCTGATAGTAAATTGGGATCCCATGGTGAACTGGACTCCCATGGTAAACTGGACTCCCATGGTGAACTGGACTCCCATGGTAAACTGGACTCCCATGGTGAACTGGAATCCGATGGTAAATTGGGATCCCATGGTGAACTGGATTCTCATTGTAAGCTGGACTTCCATGGTAAACTGAACTTTCATGGTGAACTGGAATCCGATGGTAAATTGGGATCCCATGGACTCCCATTGTAAACTGGACACGGTCAACTGGACTCCCATGGTGACGTACTATCCGTGTACAGCACTGGACATTGTGGTCCGGACGTCTTGTGACCCCCCCCCCACCCCCCCCCCCCCCCCCCAAATTAATTGACCCTGAACATTTTTAGAGAGTTTAACGGGTGGGGGGGGGGGTCACAAGACATCTGGACCACCTTTTGTACACTGCAGGAAAAAAACGTGTGGCTGAACCTCACAGCCTCCTCACTGGAGGCAGTCGGTTTTGAGGCTATGCGACGATGGGGGGGGGGGGGGGGAGGTGATCTTTGTCTGTGTAGGCTGCACCTTGTTGGTTTTTCTCTGCTGGAGGCCTTTCTCCGTGCGTCTGATGTCCAGAAACTCAGGGCTCTGGCAGCTGAGGTCCGTGACCACGTCAACCCACCTGACACACACACACACACGCACGGACAAAGGGTCCCCCCGTGTAGCCTTAACAGACTGCCGGGGCAAGTGCTGCTAGCGAGCAGCACCTGTGAAGGCTACCGCAACTGTGGCACACGAGGGGGTGGGTGGACCAGCACCACGCCCGGCCGCCTTTGTCTCCCCCAGTGGCGATGTTTACTGTTACTGCGCACCGCACCAGGTACTCGTTTGAGGCTGGTTCGACCGAGGCGAGGCCCAGGACCAGGTTCAGATAATCGTCACTGTGGTGTTGCTGTTTAGCCTGCGAGCGGGAATCGAACTCGGGTCGCCGGGATTCGTAGTGCAGCGTAGCGCTAACCGCTGCGTCACCGCTCCCATCAAAACAGTCACGATGAGGCTTCTCCTGGATAAACGAGCGCGATGATAATACGGCAACTCCTCCCTTAACGCGCTAGATGCGCTCCTGAAAAGCATGCATGCATGCACGTGCGACCTCTTTCTCACCGCACGTAGCCGATCGCGCCAAACGGAGGTGCGGGAAAAGTTCCGCGTTCAGCGAAAAACGACTGCCACCCGCGAATGATGTCGGTCAAGTCTGGCGAGATGAGATGCGCTGCTACGCAGCCCGCGCGGTGGCACGGCGGGGACAGGCAACCGAGGGTACGCCCGCCGCTGCTTGACCATACCACTCCGCGTGCTGTACCACCGTGCCCGCTCAGCCGCGCAGTTCAAGAAAGTAGCCCGCTGTCAACCCGCTCAGAAGCCGCGCTCTCACGGCGCCCATTATCACGGGCCGCGTTGCGCGCAGAGTGCCCACAAACGCAAGAACCGCGTTCCAGCGAAAGCTCGTTGCGGCGAGCGCCACAACGCGGCGAGCGAGGGCTCGCCGCCATGACAACGGCGGCGACAATAACGAAGACCAAGCCCGGGCGGCCGCTCCGCTCACCTCTTGCAGTGGATGGCCGGGTGCTTGCGGCTCGTTTCGCCGATGAGGATCCAGTAGTCCAGGGCGACGGATTCCCCTCCCCTGGCAACAGAGACAAGAAGGGCACCCAACTCCTTCAATCACCTCCGCTGTTGCACCTCTTTGTTGTGCATCGTGCGGGCCAACGCCACAGTGACTGTTATCTGAACCGGTCCTGGGCCTCCCCTAGGTCGACTCGGCCTCAAATGAGTACCTGGTGCGGTGTGTAGTAAACATCGCCACTGGGGAGACAAAGGCGGCTGGGCGTGGCGCTGGCCACCCACCCCCTGGTGTGTACCGTTCCGGCCTTCATTGGTGCTCGATAACAGCACTTGCCCCAACAGTCTGTTGAGCCTACACGGGGGATCTTTGTCAATGTACACCTAGCCTGGTAGAAGCGCTGTGGTGACGTCACCGTGGCGAATGGCGGTTGTTGTTGTTGTTGTTGTGTATCTGTATGTGCATGCGGGCAGCGGTAGCGTAGCGCTTAGCGCACTGCATTAAAACCCAGCAACCCCGAGTTCAATTCCCCGTCATGGCCACCAACACCGGTGACGATGATCTGAAACGGACCTGGGCCTCCCCTAGGTCGAATCAGCCTCAGATGAGCACCTGGGTGCGGTGTGTAGTAAACATCGCCACTGGGGAGACAAAGGCGGGCGGGCGTGGTGCTGGGCCACCCACCACCTCGTGTGCCACAGTGCCGGCCTTCATAGGCGCTCGCTACTCGCAGAGGGCAGCTCCACAGCCCGTCGGATTCCTTCTGCAGACTCCGATCCCGATTCTGTGCCTGCGTCTCACCGGTAGGCATGTGCCGCTGGCCGGGGAGTGGCTTCGTATCCGATGGGACAGAAGTAGTGGTTCTGGCAGTGGTAGATGAACGCCCTCGAGTCGTCTCGCAGTCCACGCGTCAGCTTCTCCAGCGCCGACTCCGCTAGCATCACCGTCAACATCACGATCACCATCGTCACCATTACCATCACAATCACGTACGTCAGCATCACCATCGATTTCATCATCATCATCACTATTACTAGCACCATCATCATGAACATCACTATCACCGCCGACATCACCATCACTGTTACCATCACCGACATCAACATCATCTCTATGACTAACACAATCGTGAATGCCACTATCACCATCATTATTATCAGTTACCATCATCATCATCGTCGACATCGACATCATCATCACTCTCACCATCGACATCATCATCATCACTGTTAGCATCACCATCAATAATATCACGATCACCATTGACATCATCATATCATCACCAGAAACGCTATCATCGCCATCACCACCATCACCACAACCAACGCTGTCTTCACCATCACCACCAACGTTATCAAAAACAATACCATCACCACCACTATTACCACCACAATCATCACAATCAACATCAACGCAATCATAACCACCACCATCACTACCACCACCACGGTTACCACCACGTCTCCCCAGGTACGTACACGTCTCCCCAGGTACGTACACGTCTCCCCCAGGTACGTACGTCTCCCCTAGGTATGTACACGTCTCCCCAGGTACGTACACGTGTCCCCCAGGTATGTACACGTCTCCCCTAGGAGGTAGGTACACGTCTCCCCCAGGTACATACACGTCTCCCCCAGGTACATACACGTCTCCCCCAGGTACGTACACGTCTCCCCCAGGTACGTACACGTCTCCCCCAGGTACGTACACGTCTCCCCCAGGTACGTACACGTCTCCCCTAGGTACGTACACGTCTCCCCAGGTACGTACACGTGTCCCCCAGGTATGTACACGTCTCCCCCAGGTACGTACGCGTCTCCCCCAGGTACGTACACGTCTCCCCCAGGTACGTACACGTCTCCCCCAGGTACGTACACACGTCTCCCCCAGGTATGTACGCGTCTCCCCCAGGGTACGTACGCGTCTCCCCCAGGTACGTACGCGTCTCCCCCAGGTACGTACGTCTCCCCCAGGTACGTACACACGTCTCCCCCAGGTACGTACACACGTCTCCCCCAGGTACGTACAGGTACGCCACTCCCCCCAAGGGTACGTACGTCTCCCCCAGGTACGTACACACGTCTCCCCCAGGTACGTACGTCTCCCCCAGGTACGTACACACGTCTCCCCCAGGTACGTACGCGTCTCCCCCAGGGTACGTACAGGTACGCCACTCCCCCCAGGTACGTACACACGTCTCCCCCAGGTACGTACAGGTGCGCCACTCCCCCCCAGGGTACGTACACACGTCTCCCCCAGGTACGTACGCGTCTCCCCCAGGTACGTACAGGTGCGCCACTCCCCCCAGGGTACGTACACACGTCTCCCCCAGGTACGTACAGGTGCGCCACTCCCCCCCAGGGTACGTACGCGTCTCCCCCAGGTACGTACACACGTCTCCCCCAGGTACGTACAGGTGCGCCACTCCCCCCCAGGGTACGTACGCGTCTCCCCCAGGTACGTACACACGTCTCCCCCAGGTACGTACGCGTCTCCCCCGGCGTGCGGTTCTTGCCGTGGGGTTTGTAGAGGACGTGCGAAGAGCTGCGCACCCCCAGCACGTCGCTCACCTGCCGGAACCACCTGCCTCGCCAGCCGGGCACAAGCAACGTTTCCACGGCGTCCACAGCTTGCGGGCCGCTCTCTGACGCGCGCGAGCGCACGTCAGAGAGCGGAGAGTGGGGGGGGGCCGTGCCATAAATAAATACGCTGTTTTTAAAGAGGCTCTTGAGGGCAAGTGCCGCTGGCGATTCAGCAGCGCCTACTAAGGCCGCCACGGCACACGAAGGGGGGGGGGGGGGGGGGGGGTGGGTGGCTAGCACCACGCCCGGCCGCCTTTGTCTCCCCGGCGGCGATGTTAACAACGCACGCGCACCAGTGACTCGGTGAAGAATGGGTTGAGAGTAGTATGCCGTGTCTCACTGCATGATTGTGGTGTTGTATGTCTCTCTGTGTCCCCGTGTCTCTGTGTCCACGCGTCGCTCCCATGTTTCATTGCATGAGCGTGGTGTTGTGTCCGTGTTTCCCGCATGTCTGCCCGCGTGTCTCCCCGCGTGTCTCCCCGCGTGTCTCCCCGCGTGTCTCCCCGCGTGTCTCCCCGCGTGTCTCCCCGCGTGTCTCCCCGCGTGTCCCCGCGTGTCCCCGCGTGTCCCCGCGTGTCTCCCCGCGTGTCTCCCCGCGTGTCTCCCCGCGTGTCTCCCCGCGTGTCTCCCCGCGTGTCTCCCCGCATGTCTCCCTGCGTGTCTCCCCGCGTGTCTCCCCGCGTGTCTCCCCGCGTGTCTCCCCGCGTGTCCCCGCGTGTCCCCGCGTGTCTCCCCGCGTGTCTCCCCGCGTGTCTCCCCGCGTGTCTCCCCGCGTGTCTCCCCGCGTGTCCCCGCGTGTCCCCGCGTGTCTCCCCGCGTGTCTCCCCGCGTGTCTCCCCGCGTGTCCCGGCGTGTCTCCGCGTGTCTCCCCGCGTGTCTCCCCGCGTGTCTCCCCGCGTGTCTCCCCGCGTGTCTCCCCGCGTGTCTCCCCGCGTGTCTCCCCGCGTGTCCCCGCGTGTCTCCGCGTGTCTCCCCGCGTGTCTCCCCGCATGTCTCCCTGCGTGTCTCCCCGCGTGTCTCCCCGCGTGTCCCCGCGTGTCCCCGCGTGTCTCCCCGCGTGTCTCCCCGCATGTCTCCCTGCGTGTCTCCCCGCGTGTCCCCCCGCGTGTCTCCCCGCGTGTCTCCCCGCGTGTCTCCCCGCGTGTCTCCCTGCATCTCACCGCATGAGCGTTGTGTTCCCCGTGAAGGGGCCAAAGCGAATCTCGTCAAACGGAGGTCGGAATCCGAGCATGAGCAGAACGTCTTCCTGGGTCACGGGGGGCAGCCTGGGGTCACGGTAAGGTCAGAGTTATGATCAGTGCAAGTGTTGGGGCTTAGTATTAGCTATGATGCGGCTAGGGTTGGTGACAGGGTTAGCGTCTGTGGTAGGTTTATGGTGAGCGTTAGCGAGCGTGTTAAGACTGAGTGCTCGGGTTTAGCGTACATGTTTAGTTTTACATAACGTGTCATCCATCGTGCAAATTGGATCTCTCACAATGGCTGAACCACAGACGATGAGCGTGAAGGCAGCAGCAGCCACGGGGCGGCGAGATGCTGCCCAAGCTCTGTGGTCCTCCATGCAAGAAGGCGCTGTTAGATAACTGACGAGAATCTCCACACGTGGGAGAGAAAACTCGCGCGTACGAAGGGGGGCAACGCTCTATCCCATACACATGGCCCAGGTGGAGAATAGTCCACGCTTTGCCGTCACGCCTTCTCGACATCTCTGGGTGATCCACCGACCCTCGCTGCAGCCTCCACAGCGTTGGCTTACAGGCAGCCACGTGCAGCGCAGCCAACCCCAATGGATGCCCTGCTCGACAGGCCGATGCGATAGCCTTTAACAGACTGCTAAAAGCTATAATAGGCGGTGGGGGACTCAGTCAAAGCCACCAGCACCGCCACAACCACCACCGCGGTCGCTCCAATTGCGCGTCGCGACCCAGTCCCGTCCGCAAACGGGACACGGGGTGGGCGACGGGTGGAGGGGTGGGGGGCTGTGTGATTGTGGGCGGGGGATTCCGTAGGGGGAGTGCAGTGGAGCTCACCAGCCGGCTCCCAGCGAGCTGAACAGGAAGTTCCAGCAGGAAACGAGGGCTGAGATGCCGCACGACTTCTTGTATTGAGGGCGGCTCACGCAGTGCCTGCGGTGGCGGGCGGGGTTGGAGGGCAGCACACGAGGCGAGGGGGTGAGAGGCGCCGCCACCTCCCCACATACAAAAGGCGAAGGGTCCCCCCGTGTAGCCTTAACAGACTGTCGGGGCAAGTGCTGTTAGCAAGCGGCACCTGTGAAGGCCGGCACCGTACATGACGGGGTTGGGTGGCCAGCACCAACGGGGTGCCAAGGAGGTGTTAACAACCTCGCCTGGAACACAGGAGGCCGTGGGTTTCGATCCCAACTCTGACAATGCCCGCTGTATATTTGGAGTTTGCGGTGTGTCTCTCTCTCCCTGCGGTTCGGTTTTAACCCCCCACGTTTAGAAGCATGCACCGGGATTTATTTAATTCTTTTGCTGCTATAAATTCGCACGCGATTAAGCCACTTTGTCGAGCTATCACTTGTGGCCAGGTCGCTTCTGAAAAATAAGTGAATTCCTCAGTGGGCTTTACCTGGTGAGATAAAAAATATATGGTTTAGTTTTATTCGTATATTTTTCGGTGATTTGTTTACCTTTCCTATAATTTGCACTCCTATCGTGTTTTTGTATTGTTTGTTTGGTGTAACTTTCTTCTTACACACCCCTACTGGACACCTGTGAATAAGAGCTTTGTGGCTCATCGGATTCCCCCAGTATGAAACAAATCTTTTGAAATTCTTGGTTCTTTCGGTAAAGTCACGTAGAAGGGAAATAATACAATAATAAAAAGAAAACAAAAAAATTATCACGACGTTTCGATTGCAACACAAGCAATTCATCATCAGGTGTGAAAAACCACGGCAAGAAAATTTGAAAAAAGTGGCGTTTTTTTCATAACGTTAGCACCACGGACAGCGATTGGCGGTTGTTCAGACGGACGAGTCCATCTATGCTCGGAACGGAGGAGGGGGGAAAGAAGGATAATGGAATGCGGTCTGAAAGTCACCGTAAGCGTGAACACAATCAATTAAGGCCCGACATGGTTGATCACATCCTTCCAATGATTGCTAAGCCAGAATCCATCTTTTTTTCACACCTGATGAAGATTGCTTGTGTTGCAATCGAAACGTCGTGAGAATTTTATTGTTTTATATTTTTATTATTTTAATATTTCCCTTCTACGTGAATTTACCGAAAGAACCAATAATATGAATTCTTCCAGTCACGAAAGCTTTAAATCGAAATATTTTGATACTGATCTGATGATTCACTCCCGCTCTGCAGAACTTAGAAACTCCACACGGCCCGGCGCCCAAGTTGGGAGTCGAACCTAAGGCCCCTCCCTTGCTGTGAGACACAAGTAAACTAAATAATGTTTTATTTTACCAGGTAAGGCCCACTGAGCTATGTAGCTCTTTTTCAGAAGTGACCTGGCTATCACAAATGATAGCTCGACAAAGTGGCTTATCACGTGGAAATCTACAGCAGCCGAACAATCTAAACGCATGTTCCTGCATGTAGAGGGAGGGGAAAAACCGGAGGACCCGGAGAAAAGTCCACATGTCCACGGGGAGAGAGAGAGAGACACGCAAACTCCAAATATACAGCAGCAGCAGGCGTCAGGGGCGGGATCGAACCCACGACCTCCTGCACACCAGGCGAGGTAGTTAATATCTCCTAGCCACCGTGATGATGATGAGAGAGACACGCAAACTCCAAATATACAGCAGGCATCAGAGTCGGGATCGAACCCACGACCTCCTGCACACCAGGCGAGGTAGTCAACATCTCGTCACGGTGGCGCTCAAGAGTAATCACTGCACTGTCACCCTTTCTTATCCTCTACAGTCTCCCTCACCCCCCCCCCCCCCCCCCAAGTCACCACCCCCCCGAGTCACCCCGGGTCCCAACCCTCGACCATCCTCGCCCTCACCATCTTCGCAGGTCCAGAACCTTCCGCTGACGAGTTCCTCCGGCGCAGCACGTGGCCTGGTTCGGTGGAGGGGCTTGATTCAGTGGTGGGGCCGGGGACGTGTTCGGTGGAGGCGGTAGAATCGGTGCGGCCGGCCCCGGCGGCGGCTGGTTCGACGTGGCGCGCGCCGTCGCCCACGGCTGGCACCTGGGGCTGTCCGTGGTCAGAGATCCGACCGGAGCCACTGCCACAGCCAAGGGGGGGAGAGAGGAGACGCAGTTGCAGCAGCAGCAGCAGCAGCATCGTCTTCACGGCCAGCAGGGCGACAAGCAGCAGTAGCATCATCATCATCATCGTCGGCGGCAGCGGCAATGACCGTCATCATCAGCAGCAGGGAGATTAACAGCAGCATCATTGTAATGAGCATCGGGGAGATAAGCAAGATCGTCATCAGCGGCAGCAGGGAGATCAGCAGCAGCGTCAGCAGCAGCAGCAATAAGTTCCAGCAGCATCATCAGCAGGAGGGAGATCAGCAGCAGCATCATCCACAGCATCATCAGCAATAAGAGGCAGTAGTAAGAAGCAGCAGCAGCATCATCATCAGCAGCAATGAGCAACAGCAGCATCATCAGCAGCTGGGAGATCAGCAGCAGCATCGTCCGCAGCATCGTCAGCAATAAGAGGCAGTAGTAAGAAGCAGCGTCATCAGCAGCAGGTAGAGACGCAGTGGTAGTTGCAGTACAGGTAGTCCCCGACTTACGATGGTCCGACTTACGATATTTCGATCTTACGATAGCGATATGACAAAATTTTAAAATATTTTTAAATTTCGCGCGGCAGGCAAATGCGGCAGCGTTACGAGGTACGATACTGTAACTTGATCATCGCCGTCCTCCTCTTCCGACAACTAAGTGAATGTAGCCATCAACAACCTTAACATCGTTCAAGCATGCAGACGACGGACAGAATCTTGGCGAGTACAGCAGAATATGATACGTTACGATACGCTCAATGCATGTATGATACACAGCTTTAGCGATTTCATTTTAGGGCAGGGGTGGGCAAATTTTTTTGACTCGCGGGCCACAATGGGTTCTAAAATTTGACAGAGGGGGCCGGGCCAGGAACCAGATGGAGGGAGTGTTTGTGTGAACTTAATATAATTGACGTGTTAAAAAATCATTACGTGAAAGGATTTGGCCTTTAACAGGCAGCAAAGCATTTATTAGCAAGGAAATTTAACAAATTGCGCGAACATGAACAATACAAAAACACGTCGTGACTCACCGGTCAAAGTGCGCCATCTAATGGGGAAATGAGGGCATTACAGGAGAAAGGTAAAATTTAATTTAATTTAATAATAATAATATTTGGACAAGTTCGGCGGGCCGGATTAAAAAGCCCAACGGGCCGTACTTTGCCCACGTCTGTTTTAGGGTTACCGCGATACGGTACGATAGGTTCAATGCACGTTAAAAGTTTTTTTTTATAGCAGATAGGATTGTTACCTGAAAAAAAACTTTCTATGAAATTCCAGTTCAAATAGGTAGGCTAAGAATTTACTTTGTTTTTTTTTTACTTTTAATTTTACTGTGCAATACAGTATTGTGATTAATAAATACATACAGGATATAGTTTATACAGTAGGGTACTGTAAATTGCTCTGTTTTGCTAGATTATCACCGTTCTTTTAGACTCCTGGGTTAGGCTTGGGCCATCTTCGACTTACGATATTCTTGACTTAACGATGAAGTCGTAACGTATCTCCATCGTAAAGTCGGGGACTACCCTGTATCGTAAGTCGGGGACTACCTTTATAAGCTCCTTCCCGTCCCTCCCTAAGCACCGGTCTAGCGCCATCGCCCATTCCTCCGATAATTTGTAGCTCCGCCCCTGCCAAGCAGGGGCGGAGCCAGGATTTTTACTTGGGGGGGGGCTGACTTCAATATTCTGAGATATCTCAGTGTGTTCATGTTTTCCAATGGGCGCCACAAATGTATGAAACAAATTTTATTGGATTTGAACGCGGAGTTTATTAATAGGTTCGGAGCCGCTGATGTGGCTGATAAGTTCGATACGTTTGAAAGGCTGCCGCTCAAGCAGCCTGCAGGGCAGCACACAAGGTGGCAGCCTGCAGGGCAGCACACAAGGTGGCAGCCTGCAGGGCAGCACAAGGTGGCAGCCTGCAGGGCAGCACAAGGTGGCAGCCTGCAGGGCAGCACGAGGTGGCAGCCTGCAGCATTTTGCAGCAGCCGGATATCCGGTTATCCCGATTACCGACTTTCCCAAAATTTCAGGGGGGGCTGAGCCCCCCCCCAGCCCTCCCTGTGGCTCCGCCCCTGCCAAGTACACCATTCCATTGCTTTGTTTCCGTTTTGAAAGCTCCGTCAATAGAGCGCCTTGAGTGAAGGCGCTCTCTAAAAATAGAAATTCGATTATTATCATCACAACGTATGATCCAACACCAAATCATTATCATCATCATCATCAGATGCGCTTCCGCGGCCGTCTGGAACGCTCTTGCTTCCGATATTAGGAAGCCACTGGAGCTATACACTTTTAAATAATCTAGATTGAAAACTAATTTCTTTAGAACTGCTTTTTGTGTTTGTATATATGTATGTTCAAACTTCTATCGCACCATATTTAGTACGCTGTTCTTCCCCCACACCTCCGATCAGCACGGCTGGCTACGCACGGTGCGAAAGACGTTCAACGCACATACATACAAACAACGTGACGCTGCTGCCGATGACGATGCCGTTGATGCTGTTTCTGGACATCTCACCATTTTGTCGGACAACGCGTGGGCTAACGCTGATTCTGCCGCCGCCGCCACCGCCGCCGCCGCCGCCAGCGCGGTTGTGGTTGCGGGATAGATGCATGGCCCAGTCGGAAGTGTCGACTTCCCACGCGACGGCCCGGGTCTTCTCAACGCAGAGCGGCGGCCTGGCGGGCAAACAGAATCGCCAGGCGCGTCGTCTCTGTGTCTGCGTGTCTCAGCGTGTCTCCGTGCGCTTCTAGCTGTGTGTCTGTGCCTCGATGTGTCTGTGTAGCTGTGTGCCTCTATGTCCCTGTGCCTCAATGTGTGTCCGTGTCTTCAGGTTCCTGTGTCTCAATGTGTCTCTTGTCTGTGTCTCTAGCTATGTGTCTGTGCCTCAATGTGTGTCTCCATGTCTCTGTGTCTCTAGCTGCGTCTAAATGTGTCTCTGTGCCTTAATGTGTGTCTCCATGTCTTCAAGTTCCTGTGTCTCAATGTGTCTCTTGTCTGTGTCTCTAGCTATGTATCTGTGCCTCAATGTGTGTCTCCATGTCTCTGTGTCTCTAGCTCCGTCTCAATGTGTCTCTGTGCCTGAATGTGTGTCTCCGTGTCTTCAAGTTCCTGTGTCTCAATGTGTCTCTATCTCCGTATGCCTCTAGCTGTGTTTCTGTGCCACAATGTGATTATGTCGGAGTCCGTGTCTCAGTACATCTCAGTGTCTCTGAATCTCTGTGTTTGAATCTGTAGTTCCGTGTCTCTGTGTCTTGAGTCTGCATCTCAGGGTCTCTGAGTCTGCACGTGTCAATGTTTGAATCTATATCTGCATGGCTGTATCTCTGTGTCTGTGTCTCAGTTCCTCCAAGTCTGTATCTTACTGTTTCTCTGTGTCTCAATGTGTCTGAGTTTGTGTCTCTAAGTCTGTGTCTGAGTCTCAATGTGTGTATGTGTCTGTGACTAAGTATGACTCAGTGTCTCTGTGATTGAATGTGTAGTGTCACTGATTCGGAGACGAGGTTTGTAGGAGGCACCTTCTCTTTGATTGAACACCCACGGTCTCGCCTGCACACTCTCTACAGTCGCTTAGCCTAGCCTGTACACAACGCTAGCCGTCTAACACTGACGGTGCTGACTGAGACAGCCAACAACTATCTGGCGGCGCAATATCGAGCGAAGACGGCAGCGACGAGACGACTCCAATCCCAGAACCGGCAGCCTCGAGCTCCCCGCTCTCGGCCCCTTTTATCCTACCAGCGCAGCCTGACTCCGCCCTGGCCACGCCTCTCTTCTCGCACCTACTAGCAGGTTCCAGGGGCTTCCAGACGGGGTCCTCCGTGACCCTTGACCCCAGTTTCTCTGCCCTGCCAACACACCCGTGAACACGCTCACTAGCGTGTGCACTGTCCGTCCACCACAGTTGCCGCTGCTGCCCACCAGCCGGCGCTCTTACACCACACGTGTGTCAACGTTTGAATCTGTATCTCAGGATAGCTTCATGGCTATGCCTCTGTGTCTCAGTTTGTGTCTCCGAGTCTCAATGTGCCTGTGTCTGAATCTCAGTACAGTATTTCTCAGCGGCCCGAGTCTCTGATGAAGATGATGATGTTGTAGATGATGACGTAGAAGGTGCACATGATAATGTTGATGACGATGATGATGTATGTTGAACTTCTTTCCCACAGTAGGTAGCCAACCGTGCTAATCGTAGGTGCGGGGGAAGGATAACAAACTAAACAAAAAATCAGTTATAAAGAAATTAAGTTTTCAACCTAGGTAATTTAAAAGTACATAGCTCCAGTGGCTTCCGAATATCGGAAGAGCATTCCAGATGGCCGCAGAAGCGCGTCTGAAGGCACGCGATGCGGTGACCGTCTTTGTTTTATGGCTTGCCAAAAGCCGCCGCTTGCGAGGATGACAAAGAATTCAAGTGGTGGTTTATGCTCCTTGATAATAACAAAGCGAAGACAATAACCAAACCCACCTATTCATCGGTAGCAGCAGCAGTAGGGGCCACAGGAATTCCGCCTGAAATTAAACTATTTTTTATTTGATCAGGTAAGGCCCACTGAGCTATTTAGCTCTTTGTCAGAAGCGACCTGGCCACAAATGATAACGGAGTGGCTTATCATCACGTGGAAATGTATGGCAGCCAAATTCGCTTAACGCGTGATTTTGATTCTAAATATGGAGGGAAACCCCGAAGTACCCGGAGAAAAATCCAAGTGACCACAGGGAGAGAGACAATCTCCAAATATACAGCAGGCGTCACGGTTGGGATTGAACCCACGTCTTCATGTATACCAGGCGAGGTAGTTAACATCTCAAGTGTCCTTACCCGGCTTCCCCTGGGCTCCAGGCAGAGTTGAACCTCGGCAGCGTCGGCGTCAAGGAGGTGAGCGGCAAAGAGGTGAGCGTCAATGCCGTGAGCGTCGGGGAGGTGAGCGGCGAATAGGTGGGGGTGGTGGTGTCCTTGTAGAGGCTCGCCCGAGAGTGAGGCTCCACGCACAGCGGTACAAGCAGGGCGCAAGAGTGGCGGCACGGGGGAGACGGCAGCGGAAGAGGGGGGGCCGGCGTCGACGACGAGGTGGAGGACGACGAGGAGGAGGTGCTAGATGAGGAGACGGTAGACGAGGGGGTGGGTGAGTTGGTGGACGAGGGCGTGGTGTATGCGGTAGCGGTGGAGTATTTTGAAGAGGTGATAAACGATGGGGCGGTGGATGAGGATGTTACGGATGAGGGAGTGGGCAAGGAGGATGATGAGGATGTTGGTGAGGTGGAAAATGCGGAGGAGGTGGTAACGGATGAGGTGGCAGCGGATGAGGTGGCAGCGGATGAGATGACAGAAAACGTAGATGAGGTTGAAGAGGTGCCGACGGCAGAGGGCAGGGATGAGGCAGCGGATGAAGTGAACGAGGTGGGCCAGGTGGTGGTGGACAAGGGTGGACAGGCGGTGGACAATGAGGTGGTGAAGGATGCGGAGGCGATGGATGAGGTGAAGAAAGTGGACCAGGAAGAGGTGGAGAGGCGAGGTGTGGTGGCCGAGAAGGTGGTAAATAATGTGGTGGATGAGGACGATGAGGTGGTGGTGGATGAGGTTATAGGAAATAAGGATGAGGAGGTGGGCGATGTAAACGAGGTGGAGCTAGGAGTGATGGACGAAGAGGTGGAAGCGTGGGTATGAGAGGGCGTGGTCAAGTACGGGGAGGATGTGGAAGAGACGGCGGGAGAGGTGGAAGGGGAAGAGGTGGCGGTGATGTGAGAGGTGGATAAAGGCGTTGTTGTGGGCGAGGAAGATGAGGTGGTTGGCAGGGTGGATGAGGAGGCAGAGGAAGAAGAGGTGAGCAAGCTCGAAGAGGTTGGGAACACGGAATAGGCGGCCGTGTGAGTGCGAATTGTCGTGAACTGAGGGACAACGGAACAGGAGGTGGTGAAGTATGGCGAAGAGGTGAACAAGGAGGTGGGCAATGCAGGTGAGGAGGTGATGGAAGAGGTAGCTGAAGAGGTGGCGGGCGAGGCGTTTGAGGTGGTGAGCGGGATAGGTGTTGGGAGCTTGCCGATGGCTCCTGCCTCTGAGACTGCGTCCTCAAATTCGTTAGTGGGATGGGTGCTCATCGCATAGTTGTTGGCTGAAGATGATTTCCTATGAATGTTCGCTCAATTGTACTAGGGTGTAGAACTTATTTTTGTTCGGCCTCTCAACCTAAGGTATCCATTATCGTGCAACTTACAGCCGTTGCAACTTCTTGCTTGGCACACGATCTCCTGTTGGAAAACACAAAACGCAAAATATATTAAGCGGGGGCAAAATGTGGATTGTTCACAAGCTGCTGTTCACGTCACACATGTCCGCTCCCTCGTTCACGAATAAAACCTCGCCGAGTCTAATGGCAACTTTTTAAGGAAGCTCCTGCCAAGCTTTTGTCGGGAGTCGAGGTGGGTAGTGGGTGGGGGTGGGTGGGGGGGGGGCGGCAATCGCCACGTAGATTCCTACTGTATTCACCGGATGATAAGACGCTCCGGAAAAGTTGCCGCATGCAACCAAGTTGCACGCAACAGCCACCAAGTTGCACGCAACAGCCACCAAGTTGCAGCAGCAGCAGCAGCAGCCAAGTTGCGTGCAACGACTGATCGTTCAAGTGTCAACCCGGGTTTATAGTCCACGATCCCGGACCAGATATTTCACTTGTTGCTTCGCACCCGAGGTGGCATAACTTTAGTGGTTGACATTCGTCTTCGTGGCCAACAACGGTGAATTACGTGACGAGCATGTGAAAGGAACGGGTTACCGAGTGCAGTAGTTAACGCCTATTATCACCGAATAAATTAAATCGCGACGATCAAAGTGTTTGCGATCCTAGTCGGTACCCATTTCTGCTGTGCCCCTAGACTACTAACAATAAATGCAATACCTTCGACAATAACACTGTTGTGTAGCCCTAACAAGAACAGTGTATAGTAGAACCCCTCCTAATGACGGTAATTGGTTCCACGATACTGGTCGTCAAGTGATTAGGTCGTTAGGCGGATATAGGAAATGCAGTACACCAAGAATTCAAGAGTTTTTTGCCACTTCAAAGCGCAGCGGACACGAATGGACGTCGCCGATTGGCCAAGGCCCGGTCAGATTGGCCGAAATTGGCGGTGGTATGCTCGTCGTGAGCCCGTCTTTAATAGGGGAATGGTTGGTAAGTGAATAGATTGGGCTCTATGGAGGCGCTACACTACCCTATAGACTACTATGCACTACACATTGGGCTTTATGGAGGCGCTACACTACCTCATAGACTACTATGCACTACACATTGGGCTTTATGGAGGCTCGTCGTTAAGCGATCAGTCGTTAAGAGGGTTCTACTCTACACTACTATATACACTACATTACTATACACTACTCTACACTATTATACACTACACGATACACTACATTACTATACACTGTACTACCATACACTATAATTCACTACTATACACGACACTACTATACACTATTATACACTACACTACTACACTACACTATTATACACTTCACTATACTCTACACTACTATACACTACACTATACACTACATTACTATACACTGCCCTACTCTACATTACTATACACTGCACTACTCTACACTACATTACTATACACTACACTACTATACACTATTATACACTGCACTAATATACACTACACAAAATACTACACTATACACCACTACTATACACTGCACTACTATACACTACACTACTATACACACTACTATACACTACATTACTATACACTACACTACTATACACTGCCCTACTCTACACTATTATACACTACTATACAGTACACTATACACTATAGACTACACTACTATACACTACACTATACACTACTATAGACTACACTACTATAGACTACACTACTATACACTACACTACTATATACTGCACTACTATACACTACAATACTATACACTACACGTGGAGCTCTATGGATGCCCGTCGTTAACAGGGGTGGTCGTTAAGAGAGCTTTACTGTATAACAGGCGACGTTTCGGGCAATAGCCCTTCTGCATTGCACGTGGAGAGGTCAGCTATCATACGTAGGGGATATAATCAGCGTTGGAGACTGCACTTTTTGCATTGTTGTAACTTTGTGACCCGCCCCGACTGGACGTATGTGATAAAGAGCTTCACAGCTGATCGAATTCCTCCAGTCTCAATAAAGATTCAGGTTAAATTTCGATTTAAAGCTTTCGTGACTGCAATGATTCATCTTCTTTGGTTCTTTCGGTAAAGTCACGTAGAATGAGAATAAAATAATACATTGATAAAATAAAATAACAATAATATTCTCACGACGTTTCGGCCACAACACAAGCGGCCTTCATAAGGTGAAGGGACGAGACTGTCTGGTAGGACAGTCTCGTCCCTTCACCTGTCTGGTAGGACAGTCTCGTCCCTTCACCTGATGAAGGCCGCTTGTGTTGTGGCCGAAACGTCGTGAGAATATTATTGTGTTATTTTATTTTATCAATTTATTATTTTATTCTCATTCTACGTGACTTTACCGAAAGAACCAAAGAAGAAGACTCAGGTTATTTATTTTCACCATGGGGCTTGATTGAATTATTTTAATAGCTAATAGTAGCTGTTAACGCTTCGATCATGGAAAAGCGTTACTTGAGTAAGCGCATTTATATGGAGGGTAACATTATAAAACGTTGGACTATTCGGCGGAATGTATTGATTTAGCACGTGGTCTACATCAAGCGAAAAAAATAAATCACACGGGAAGTTTTAATTAAAAAAAGCCTCGAGCGACCAATCAGAACGCGTGCGGCAAGATGACGTCACGCACAAATTACGTCACGCACAAATGACGTCACGCAATAATTAAATTGTCTCCAAATTTAAAACGAATCGCAAGCTTTTTATTAAAAAAAATTTTTTAGTTTGATTAACAAAAAAAAAGACATTTCTAAAATAACGTTCCAGGCAATGTCACACAAAGCTGTGAATTAAATATATTTAAAAAAATAATGTTCAACAAACAAATGAGAGACGCCGTTGCTAAGGCCGCTTGTGGCTTGCAAAGTCTGGGCGCCTGAGGTAAAAAAAATGTGTGCGTTACAAGAAATAAAATCGCTCAAATTTACGATTACAATCGAGCGACTTAAGCGATCGTAGATGAACGCTCAGATGTCGTTGACGGAAACGTGAATATTTAAAAGATTTTTTAAGGTAAAAAAAATAAACCGCGCTCAATCGCCTCACCACCACCGCTGCCTGAATCGCGGGCCGCGCTCGATTGGATTTCGCAGTCCGCTTGGGCGGCCACGCGCGGTCGTGATTGGCCAGGGCTCGCGGTCACGCGTTGCGGGCCAAGACCTGATATACCTATCCGAGGTACGATTTACAATCGCGTGTTTTACTGCCATAAACAAAAGTTTATACCTTATTACTAATTAGGTGCTGAGTAATAAAGTAAAGGCATATTTTTTTTAAAAAAAGTTTGATTATGTTTTTAAAGAGCTCATTAAAAAAGATATGTATTTTTTTAAAAGTCTGTTTTCGTTACATTTTATTCATAATACAGTACTGCATAACACTAAGTTTATGATTTGATATTAATTTTCGCAATAACATAGTTTTTTTGTTAAAATAGCATTAAATAAACACTTAAATTCCAAATTGCCATGCCGAGGATCTGACCAACCTATAGGATCTGACCAACCTATCTTCACCACACACAGAAGTGACGTTTCTGCCCTGATCTACATAGTGCCAATTATATCGCCCCCAAAGAGATGATGTAAATTATATTGTGATGATTCTGGTGGTGATGATGGTGTTGGTGGTGGTGATGGTGTTGGTGGTGGTGATGGTGTTGGTGGTGGTGATGGTGTTGGTGGTGATGATGGTGTTGGTGGTGATGGTGGTGGTGATGATGGTGGTGATGGTGTTGGTGGTGGTGATGATGGTGTTGGTGGTGATGGTGTTGGTGGTGGTGATGATTCTGGTGGTGATGGTGTTGTTGGTGGTGATGGTATTGGTGGTGATGATGGTGTTGTTGGTGATGATGGTGTTGGTGGTGGTGATGATGTTGTTGGTGGTGATGGTGTTGGTGGTGATGATGGTGTTGGTGGTGGTGATGATGTTGTTGGTGGTGTTGGTGGTGATGATGGTGTTGGTGGTGAGGATGGTGTTGGTGGTGGTGATGATGGTGGTGTTGACAGTGTTGATTGCGGTTTTGATAGTGATGATGGTGGCGTTGGTGATTGTGTAGATGATAATGGTGGTGGTGATGGCGTTTCTTGTTGCTGAGGGTATGATTTCTTCTTGGAACAAACTATATTTTGCGAACTATTTTCAAGTGGCATGAAGTGTGGACATTACCTGAAACGTAGCATTTTATATTTTTAAGGCCACAGTATTATTGACTAACGTGTTGAGTTATTTAGCACCAGATAGCTTCCACACAGCGTTAGGAATCCGATGAAAAGATAATGCCGCTCGACTGATTCGGAGACCTCCGCTGTCAAACAGGAGCCGGTCTTGAGTAAACTGCACAGATATAAACACAGAGACACACGCAGAGACACACACATAGATAAATACAACAACAACCGCCATTCGCCACTAAGTGGCAGTGACGTCACCACGACGCTTGTGGCAGGCCATGTGCACCTTGAGGCCACGTGAAGTGTCGAACGCCCGCTGGCAGGAGGTCACGGGGCAGACCCAGGTGCCACGGGTCGACTGACTGAGATGACTGGCTGATGCACCACCTGTTCCCTCTACTGTGCCAACTTGCTGTGCTTTAGCCACCCGGCGCTCCGCTCGTTGTTTTGAGCGTCGCTCCTCCGCCCTCCATTGTTGTTGGAGGGCGACTGCCTCCAACTGCCCAGTAGCGTCCTTCACGAGCCTCCTCCACAGAGGCCGATCTTGACACCGCTGGTACCAGTCATCGGCAAGTCTACTCAGCTCCACGTCCTCCTGTACCACATCACTCCATCTCTTCTCTAGCCCATGCCGCGCCCGTTTAGCCCCCTCTATCCGGCCGAACAAAACCTGTTTAGGTATGCGGTGGCTGGGCATGCGGGCTACAAGACCCAGCCAATGCATCCTTACCTGCCAGAGGAGCTCACTGATGAGACTTTGTCAAGATCTTTCAAGGATTTGTGAGCTCACACAATCCAGCCTGGTTAAACCCAGGATGGATCGTAGGCAGGCCAGCCTAAATGTTTCTAACCGGCGAAGATGTTCCATTAGGGGGGTCCACGTTTCACAAGCGTAGAGAAGGGAGAGAATGACCGTGGCAGAGAAGACCTGAAGTTTCATGCGGAGGGACAGACCAGGTAGCTTCCACACAGCGTTACGCAACCGATGAAAAGATAATGCCGCTTGACTGATTCAGAGTGAGAGCTATACTGTCAAACTGGAGCCGGTCATGAGCACACTGCCCAGGTATGGGAAACTCTCCACTCTCTCACAACTGCCATATCACCAATTGGGAGTTGTGGGGGTGGAGTGTCCAATGGTACAAAATACCCAGGCAGGTGCTTAGTTTTGGTGGGGCTGATGGCAAGGCTCCACCTCTTAGTGGCCAGCTCCAGGTTCAGCAACAGCCAGGGGCGGAGCCAGGATTTTTACTTTGGGGGGGGGGGGTGCTGACTTCAATATTCTGAGTTATCTCAGTGTGTTTATGTTTTCCAATGGGCGCCACAAATGTATAAAACAAATTTTATTGGATTTGAACGCGGCGAGCTTACATGCTCGTGAACTGCTGCTGGACAATATCGGAGAGATCGAGGGACTTCCCCATAACCTTCTCGATGTATATCACCATCAAGTCGGACATCCAGTCGTCGCCCATGCTGGTGCACATCCGCGTCTTCCAAGATTTTCATGGCGGAGAATGCGCGCCCGGTGGTGGCCGTCGAGATCGGGAGAGTCAGGATCAGTCGAATGAGCTTATACAACTGAGGAAATATGCTCACAAGTTTGTGCTTGCAGAAAACGATGCTCAGTTGCTTCAGATTTTATTTGACTGGTTCATATAGGGCGGCGTTCTCCTCGTCACCTGTGAACATGACAAACTCAACGAGTTCCTGTTTAAGCAAAATCAGATCCAGCTCTCGAAAATCGGCCTTGTACATTGCCGCCAACTCAATGGATCTGCTCTTGATTTAACTGGTACGATTTGAAGTTGTCAACTGGGTCGAGGTACGGGATCTTACTGAGCAGTTCACAGGCATCGGGAGAAACACGATGGTTGAGTTCAGCTAATGTGGAGTCAACAACAGCATTAAACAAGTCATTGCGGTAATGATCTTCGATGGTTCGCGGCACATGACCAGGAGGAAGGTGAAGAGGACGACCTCGCGCTAGCCAGATGTCATCCAGTGATGGGACAGGGATGTCGTGGTCTTTACAGAATGCAA